GCATCACAATGACAATGGCTAATTTTATGAATAAAAGTGCCCTATCTGTAATATTTATAGTGTTGAAGATAGTGCTGAGATATGTATAAAACCATAATTAATAGTTAATATGTAAAGGTTAGTATGCTACCAGATGAAAAAATTTTTTAGCAGGATTTATTTATATATTTTAAAGTCTGTCATTTCTAACAACACCCTAATCAAGACATCTGTCAGCCTGTACCTTTCTCAACTCCGTAGATAACCAGTGTTCTAATTTTTACCACCATAGATTAGTTCTGCGTATTCTTGGATCATGCAGTATGTAGTCTTATGTCTGGCTTCTTTTTCTCAACAACATTTTTGAGATTCACCCATATTGAGTGCAACAGTACCTAATTTTTTGGTATTGCTAAGTAGTACTCAATTGGGCATTTGGGATTTTTCTAATTTTTAAACAGACTTGTGCAACTTGTTTTCTGGACATATATTTTCATTTATCTTGCATAAATGAATACCTAGGAGTGGAAAATAGGTTGGGTGTATATTTAAGTTCGTAACTTAGCAAGCAGTTTTCCAAAGAGGTTTATCATTTCACACTCCCACCAGCAATATATGAAAGTTCCAGTTTCTCCACATTCTCCCTAACATTTTGTATTCTCAGGGTTTTTAATTTTAGTCATTCTGGTGGGTGTGAATGTTATCATGGGTTTCATTCGCATTTTCTTAATGACTGATGATTTTGAGCATATTTTCATGTATGTATTTACAGTTTGTCATCTTTTTGAAGTGTCCATTCAAGCCTTTTCTCCTGTTTTTGTTGGGTTGTTTGTATTTTTGTGGTTGATATACAGGAGTTCTTTATATACTCAATTCAAGCTCTTTGTCAGATATATGTATATATGTGTGTGTGTGTGTGTGTGTGTATGAATAGTGAACACTTCTGGTCTGTGGCTTGCCTTTTAATTTTGTTTAATGGTTTTGTTTAATGATCCATGGCATATTAATTTTTGTGGGTTCTATAAATTTGCGGGTCAGAGGGTTCAGATTGATTTTATTTTCATGTTCTTCCAGGTCCTTGTTGAAAATATTTTTATTTTTTTCATTGACTAATCTCGGTGCATTTGTCAAATTGGCTATATATGTGGAGAGTATTTCTGGACACTGTTTTGTTATTAATCTATTTGCTTTTCTTAATTGTGTCAATTTTCTACCATCGTGATTGCTGTAGCTTTGTAGTACAACTTTCCCATCAGGGAGTGCAAGTCATCCAAATTTGTTCTTCTATTTCAATGTTGTTTTGGGTACTTTAGGTCCTTTGCATTTCCTTATACATTTTAAAACTTCTTAAAAATTACAACTAAAGTTTGAAGTACTTTAAATGCATCAGGCTGCAATTTAGTGCATTTCCACATACCCGTCCTCCAGCTTTCCTTAATGATACCATCTTACCTAGTCATTGTACGTGTCTTCAGTGCGTGTAACGGTGCCTTTACGGGGCAAAAATTGATATTGGGGGAGAAAAATCTTACTATTTTAATGCATAAAGCACTGTTTTACATACCGTATATAAACATATACTGTGTATCTGTGATAGTAACGTATCATAGGGGGGCACTAGGAAATAATGTCTAAAAAGGCTCTGTTTATCAGTATAATACTGTTTACTCAGGTACGTGTCTTAGCCGAATTTCACCACTTCTTACATGTACTTTTGTGTGTGTGTAGTTATATGACATTGTATTGCATGTGAAGATTCGAGTAATCATGATCACCGTCAGCACACAGAACTGTTATATCAGCAAAAAGGAAACCAGTGATTTGTTTTCCATCACCAATTTTGTCTTTTTGAGACTCTCCTGTAAGTGGAATCATTGAATAAGTAACCCTTTGAGATTATCTTCTTTTCATTTAGCGTAATGCCCTGGAGGTCCACCTAAATTGCCGCTGTTATGTATCAGTAGTTCATCCTGCTCTGTTTTTGAGTAGTATTTCATTTTCTGAATGAACCATTGTTTATCCAGTCAGCAGGTGAGGGACTTTTGGATTCTTTCCATATTTTGGCTGTAACAGATAAACCTGCAATGAACATTTGTGTACTGTCTGTGTGAACTTAAGTTTTCATTTCTCTAGGATAAATTCTGAGGGGTGTGTTTTCTGGGCCATATCGTAAGTCATGTGGTAAATTCTTTCACATTTATTAAGATTTGTTTCATAGTCCAGCCTATGGTTTATCTTGATAAATATTCAGCTATTATTGAGCAGAGTATTTATAAATGTTAGGTCGAGTTCATTGATGATGATGTTCAAGTATTTTACAGTTTCAATATGCAAATTTAAATGTCTGTTTTTCTAATCTGCTTTATATATTTCACATTTGGACATCATGGATTCATTTTTATTTTATCAGAATATATTCTCTATTTTTGTGGCAGATTTTTAAAAAAATGTTTTATTTATTTATCTTTAGAGAGAGGGGAAGGAAGGGAGAAGAAGAGGGCGAGGAACATCAATGTGTGAGAGATAATCAATCAGTTGCCTCCCACACCCCCCCAACTGGGAACCTGCCCACAACCCAGGTGCATACCCTGACTGGCAGTTGAACTGGCAGCATTTTGATTTGCAGGCTGGCACTCAATCCACTGAGCCACACCATCCAGGGCCTTGTGGCAGGTTTTATTTTACAAAATTCACAGCATTATCTTCCATTCCTCTTGCTTTTCTGTAACGTGGTCTTGCCACCATAAATGGAGTCTTATTTCCCCTCCACTTGAGTATAGGCTGCCCTCAGTGATTTGATATCATTACAGTGTAGCTTGAATGATGCTGCATGGCTTCATGATGGGGTCAGAAAAGGCCAAACTGCTTTCACTTGGTTATCTTGGAAGGCTTGTTCTCCCCCCATTTCTTCTCAGGTCTCCCCTTCTCATGACCTACCCGCTCTGCTGTGAGAAGCCAAACCAAATGAAGGGGCCATGCATAGGTGCTCTGGTTTACAGTCCACACTGAGCCAATCCTTTGGCCATTCTAGCTCAGATGTCAGATACCTAAGTGAAGAAGTCACCTTGGAAGTAAATCCTTCAGCCCCAGCTTTTGCAGCTGTTGAAATCGACAGCTGTCATTTGAGTCTACTTGAATGAGGCCTGAGGCACTGTGGGCAAAGAAGTGTCAATTCTGCTTTGCCTTTCTGAATTCCTGACCTGTAGACCTCCTATACCAGCTTGTTTCACATCTCTGAGTGTGATCAGTGGCTTGTCACACAGCAGGAGGGATAAATTCTTTTTCATTAGAGTTTGAAAGAGGTAAACTTTTCAAACCATACTTATCTGAAAACTTTAACTTCACCCTTAATTGGCTCTAGAATTCTTGGATATAAAGTGATTCTCTCTCAGAACTTTGAAGTTACTTCTCCATTGTCTTGTGGCATCCATGTCCTGCCAGTGAAACACGATGTAATCTGATTCTCATTCCTTTGCATAGGTTATGTTTTTTCCCTTTTGCAACTTCTGGGATTTTTGAGTTTCAGACATTTCATCTAAGTGCATGTGGGTAATTTATGGTCCATTTCTGCCCCAGAACTCATGTCTTTTTATTTGCTTCAGTATGTTTATTATACTAATTTTAAAATAGTGTTTTCCTTATTCTTTAAACTCTCTTAGGAGTTGGTTACTTGTTGATTAATTACAGTTAGTTTCTCTCTTACACTGTTGTCCTTAATCAAATTAAGGTGATTCTTGGCTGTTTTGGTGTTGTCGCCTTTGTTTGCTTTTTGAGATGCTTTGTTATTCTCTCTGCAAATACTGTAACAGTCCATAGCTCCCTGTATCCAGAAGTTGTTGGGAATCACATAGTACTAGGAAAAGTTTAGGGGTTCCTAGTCTTTCTAGGTGTTACTAGATACTGGGAAACTTCCTGATTGGCTTTTGGGAATAATTACCCACTATTTACTTCTTTTACCCATGGTCTAAAGGCAACAGAAGTGACTCACTTGGCTCCTACTCAGGTATTTCAACCAATGTTTTTGTTTCCTCAAGGGACGTCTTTTGCTCCCCATTTTTGCTGTTTCAGAGTGTGAAGCAATACCCACCTTTTTTTTTAATACTCACCTGAGGATATGTTTATTGATTTTTAGGGAGAGAGGGAGCAAGGAGAGGGGTCGCTGGGGGAGGGGAAACGTCATTGAGAGAGAAACATCGATTGGTTGTCTCCCATACATGCCCTGACCGGATGTCGAACCCACAGCCTTTTGGTGTACGGGATACACTCCAGCCAACTGAGCAACCTGGCCAGGGCAACACCCACTTTTAGTATCAGTTTTTCTCCTGGGGGAAAAGTCTGTGGTGAAATGCCTCCTGGAATCTCATCTGCCTTTTGTCTTCTTGAGTTCAGGTCCCTGAGGACACATACTCTTTGTTTTTCAGGACTCTAGGAATTTAAGGAGCTTGTGGGACTCTGCAGCAGGTGCTCAGTCTGCCACTTTAGTCTAATTGTAGTAGTTGTGTTTAAAATGCAAAGCAATCTCACAGGCTTTGTTTTTATATGCACACATCGTTCCACTTCTGCCATTTTTGGCTTTCTTGGGCTACTGTTAATACTAAATAAATTATTTGTGTGTCTCTTAACCTTGGGTCTCAATATCAATAAAAGTCACATATCCTTGAATCTTAGTATCAGTAAAACTCTTCTTGTGGGTTATGTTAATAGGAAAAATTATAATTTATAGTTGGTGACTTAATTTTGACCAGATTACATGGAATATGCTATATAAAAGTGCAGCGATATAGTTTGCAGAAATTTTTAGATGTTGCCTATGTCACATTTTTTTCTGTTGTATGTAAAAATTGGAATAATTTTCAGTGATTTTCAGTGATAATCACAATTTTTGAGGTTATAAAACAGTCAGTTTTTAATATATTTGCACAGGCTTTAAGTAAATCAGAGTTTTTATTTTTCCCCTAAACAGGTGATTTACTTGAGACTTTACTATCTTAAAGAAATATCTTTTTTTCTCTTTTTTTCAGAGCAGCATCTCAGACATGTTGAAAAAGATGTTTTGATCCCTAAAATAATGAGGGAAAAGGCCCGAGAGAGATGTTCTGAACAAGTTGAAGGTAAGATTCAAATATTCATATAAAGATCAAATACATTTTTTATAATATGTGAATTTAATCCTTAGCCTTAGAGTCAAGTAGTGAATGAATTAATATGTATGAATTGCTTCTCACCCTTTCACTGAGATACCAGGGTTTCAGCTTTCAGAACTTCCAGGCGGTGTTCAATTCATTTACAATTTAAAAATATTCTCTCAAATTATTAGTAAAAAACACTCCCCTCTCGCCCCAAGAAGTATAGTTACATATAAAGAAAAACTTAGTATGAGTCTTTTGGAGAAACAAGTCACTCCGGTGGTTTGATAGAGAAAGAAGAAACATAAAATGTAACATGTAACTGTCTTTCATCTATCAACATATTTTTATAGGTACAATGTATATTCTAAGATGATTTTTCTTTGGTGTCATTGTGTATTACTGAATTGTTAATGGAATCCCAATAGTACTTACGATGAGACTTTTGTAGCACCCACATATGCCTATTTATTTTGGAGAATGTTTTAAACTTTTATAGAATACTGCTGTATTCTGTAAATCTAGAGATGTATTGTTGATTAATATGTAAACATAATGAAAAATGTAAGCAAAGCAGTGGAGGGTACAAAGTGAGGCTACCAATAATGAGTAATCAGAAAAACAGATGCAAGTATTACTGTAGAAATGCCTTTTGAAAACAAGCTTCCTCTGCTCTGGCTGGTGTGGCTCAGTTGGTTGGGTGTTGTCCCACAAAGCGAAAGGTTTGATTCCCAGTCATGGCACGTTCCTGGGTTGCAGGTTTGGTCTTTGGTCTGGGAACTTGTAAAAGGCAATCCATTAGTGTTCCTCTCTCACATCAGTGTTTCTCACCCTGTCTTTCTCCCTTCCCCGTCTCTAAAAATAAATAAATAAAATCTTTATTTTAAAAAAGCTATCTCTTAGAATGGACATCTAAAAAAAATAGTAGTAAAATATCACTGACGTAGACTGTTTTCCTGGCTTCCTTCCTCTACTTTCCCCTGTGGTCTCCTTCATTCAGGCACCACAGTGGTTTTAGTGTGGGTGATGGCTGCACCTTCAGCAAGATTCTCTGCAGGAGAGCCAGGCTGTTGTGTAGTTTTGTGACTTTGGATGCTAGGAACATTTCTGCCCTTCGGATGGTGTCTCCTTGGAGAATTACCTTGTTATTATTAATGGACAGAGGCAGTAAAAGAGAAGTAGTCCCTCAGAACTGACATCATGTGATGGTCTTTTCTGTTTCTTAAATTATATGACTTACTAGGATATACCAGTTTTAAATCCATTTATAAGTTTATTACTTAGATTGAAATGAAATTCATCCATAAATAAATTTATTAATAAATTACCAATAATTTATTAGTATCATACCATGGTATTACTGCTTTCACTATGAATTAGTTGTTTATTCAGGGCGCTTTCTTTCCACCCCCACCCCCAAGGTGTTAGGAAGAATGAACCCATTGGCAGCTGCAGGCAGGGTTCAGCGCACACCTGGCACTGGCAGGTGTCATGCTGATAGTCTCAAGAGATAATCCTCTACTTGCCTCATAGAACTTTAAAAAAAAACAAACATATACATATATATATATGTATGTATATTCTGATTAGGGTCAGGGAGGATAACACTTAAAAATGGATAATAAAGTTACAGGGTTAGGAATACCTTTTCATTACCGGGAAAATTTACTTTAATAAGGAAATAGTCTAAAATTATAAATATAAGTTGTATTTATGCAGTTTTATAACACATTATTCTGATACCTAGAATGAAGGAAAGCTAGCTAACTCAATTATAAATTGAGTTTTTACTCACATGACTCAGATGAAAATACAGAACGATTGTATGGCTTTGGGTTTCAGAGGTGTCTTTTACTCTTAGATGATGAAACTTTGTTTTTGATTTTTGAAATGTAAGAAACACAGTATATATTTAAAATTTTATTTGTGTTCCACAGCTGCAGTTTTGTAACGGTGCAGAAAAAAATGTTTAATTTTTGCTTTTTTATCAAAAGTTAAGTTGTGTAGGCTGTTGATGTGGTTACGTTTCTGTTTAATGAATATACTTAAAATCTTCTGAAGACTGAAAGCATCTTAAAATTTGGGTTATTTCAACTTATTTGTAAGTTTTAGAACATATTAATGCTAATTGATTTTTGAACATTTGAATTTTTGTAGATAATCATATCTTGATTTTTTTTAGGTCATATCGTCCAAAACAGCGTTTTAGAATCTAAAATTGATTATTTTATAAATGAATAATCTCTAGTATTCTCCCTGTTTAACCATGTGAATTAGGAAAGAACATACGCTGGTATTGCTCCAGTGGCAGAACAACAGCTACACTTCAACTGAACAATAAAATGTAAATTAGAATGAGGATACTTCCTTCGTAGTTTATTTACTGTTTATCACCTTTGCTTTAATAAATAATTGTGGGGTTTTATATAAAAGCATTATGCATTGTATAGTACTTGGGTAAAGATATAGGAATTTTAATAAGTGATCTGACTTTCTGCTAAATACCTGAAACATGATTATGTAGGAAAGCTTTTCTGTTTGATTTTTTTTTTTCATGTCATTTCAACCCAGTTGATCATAAGAATTGGGTCAGACTGCCAGCAACTTAGGTTTGTGAAGGGAATGGAACAGCTTTTCCAGGGACAAAGAGAAATGAAATCACTTTCAGTGAAAGCAAGATGCCTCATTATAGTCACCAACAGCAGTTATTGACAGCTACACTTCCTATTAACAAGGAACATTTAACTAAGAGTTTGGCTGTTGGATCTTTGGACTTGATCTAATTTGCTAGCATTAATTAGTTTCTTTTGAGCACAGACACTTGGTGCTCACAGCTATAGATTTGGAGGGCTAATTAGGATAGAAAATTGAACAGAATGGGGTAAGGCATTAACCTTCAACCATTACCAGCTGGGACACTGATAAAGACCACAGAGTCCAAATGCTCCCTATTGATGTGAAGAGTACCCTAATGAATATCAATTTCAGCCAGGTTGCTATATTCTTACTAGTTCTCTCTTCATTATAAATTTTAACCAGCTTCCATGATACCTTCATTATCTATATATACACTGTTGGCACTATTGGTTTTTATTATATACTGATTTAGTCTGAGTTGCACATTTCACTTTATGTTTTAAACATAATTAAAATTTTTCTGAGGTAGCAGATAATACTTAGAATGTTATATACCCCAACAGTAAAATCTAACCTTTATCCACAATGGCATGATTCTAATTCTACAATCAATTTTTATAATCACAGTAATGTCATCATTTCAATACAATGAAAATTATAACCAGAATCAAGAAAATATTAGCTTTTATATGACAGTTAAGCAGTTTTTATTAAACTGGCATCCCCTTAAAAATTTTTGCCTTTATAGAATACCTACAGTTTTTTGTTTTGTTTCTTTTTAAGGAGAAAAATAGTGGTCATCACTTTTACTTTTGGGACTTAACTGTGATTTGAGGAGTAAAGATGACTTGATCTAGGGGTTCCATACAGAATTGAGAAGCCTGATCTTCCTAGTGTATAAACTTTGACAAGCTTATAAACTCTGTTAAAAAGTACACATTGAAAGAAAAGCTATTGAACAATTGATTTACATAGAAAATTCAACTGCATAATATTCTTCTGTTGCCAAGGAGATTACTGGCAGTGAATAGAGACACTAAAATAAATGACCAAAGTGTACTGGTAGGCATTAACTCAATGAACACTGAGCAGAATGAAGTTGAAGGAAAATTCTAGAATGTCCAATCTCCCTTCCATTTTTCTCCCGTTTTTAAAAGCCAAACTAGAAACCTCATTCCAACAAGCATGATAGTGGAATCACTGCTTGTCCTTGGATCTGGGAATTATCAAGTTGTGGCGTTTTAAGAACGTGGTCAATGACCCTCTGGGGGTTACTTTCCACTCAGTGGGTTTTCCCGTGTGCTTGACTCACACTGCTAACTTAAGGATTTGTATTTTCTGTGTTAGTAATATTTTAAAAATATTTTTTTGTCACATCTATTAGGAAAGTATGCATTCTAGTATTACACATTTCTCTTCTGGAAATAGAGCCTCCACAAGAGTCGCTGAATTTCTGTGTTTTGTAAAAATTCCTCATTATATTTGCTTTTTTGAATTGCATAGTTGGCATTTGATACGAAGTCTCTTTGCTGAATAATGAAGCTTGCTTTAAAAATAATAAGAGCCTTTTTTCTCTTTTGTGATAATCAAAATCAAAAAAGCACTTTGCCTTCAGGGAAGGTCTGGAACTTTCTTATAACCTAGCTATTTTTTTCTTAGTTACTGAGTGCTGCTTCTTTTATGTCATTTTTTTTTCTGTTGCAGCACTTTTGATCTTTTGACCAGTAGGTGGGGTTTGGTCCTAAAGGAATTATATAAGATATAAGGAAACATGGATTGTTTGTTTCTTTGAAATATCAAAGAGCTAGAGATAAATAACAGAGAAGCTTGATAAAATGCCTGCCCTCTTCTATCTGTCGGATACCACAGAAGTATATTATATTTTGCTAAATTCCAAAGATATATGAATAGACAAAAAAGAAAAAACAGATTTAGAGTGCTTAGGATAGTCTTTCAGAGGTTTACAGGCGGAAAACTATCAAAAAATCATTAAAACAAATTGGAGACTGTAAATGATCATAGGAATCAATCTTCTCTCTGTATTAGTTGAACCTGCCAAAAAATTTCATGTGTTGTTTGAATTGTGCCATTACCACATATATTTTTGCCATTTAATCAGTTCACGAATGTTAATTAACACTGAAGTAGAGATGTAACATATCTTTAGACTGCCCGGATGTATTAGGAGGATAATATATAAAATCACTAAATATGATATCTGTTAAACATATTATGTATGTACTCTCAGAACTATAAAGAGATACGAGGCATAGTTCATCCCCTGTGGAGCTGTGTCAGGGTGCCCCGTACCAGCTCTGAGTTAGGTGGTTATTTAGGAGGACTCATAA